AATTTATTTTCTTTACATACAAATTCAATGCTTGCAATCAAACACACTCTAATATTAAAAATATAGACTCCCAATCAAAAAGTCACTTAAGAGTCAGATACGTCTACACAGTAAGACTTTTGCATTGCTGTGTTTCCCCATAAAATAACTCAAATGCAAAGATTCAAGAACCAACACATGGGAAGAAAATTCAATGAATCAAAATTACTCAAATATTCAGCAAAATTGAAATCCCAAGATAATCCTCTAATCATATGAGTCGAAGATTGCATATGAAAAGTGGTATATCTCTCCAGTCGAGATGGACTGTGCTACACAAGGAATGAAAGCTATAACAAAGCAAATGACCAATTCACTCCAGATTTTCAAGCCACCACTAGCATTTCAGTTTTTTTCTATGACATATCTACACTTAAACCTTTCGAAATCTAAAACATGGAGTAATTAGTACGGCGCAGGGGTAGTGGTGGTTGTGGTTTCAGATATGAAAAGGTTTCAAGAATGTGGAATATGGTCCCCCTTTTTAAGTTACTTGTACTGACAGCATACTCTCATGAGCCTAAAATGTCCTCTTATTCACAATGAATATCACCATTGTCCTTGAAATTACCGTTAATGTCTCAAATCTCGATCTCCCTGGAACTTGAGAGTCTGCTTGACAGAAATACCGGGGATGATACAGTTGGGGTAGCTCCCATGTCCTTTGTTTTGTGGAGGAGGAAAGTGCCACAAAAGATGACTACAAAACCACACAATTCTGTCAAAATTGGCGATGCAGCTTGATGATCCCAATCCTAAAGTCGCAAAAGTTGTTGGACAAAAGTAATCGATAATTAGATCTCATAAAACCACAAGAGAACTAGTGATAAAAAGCTACTACTAATAATGTATGAGTAAACAATTTGATCCTTTGGCCTGTGAGTTATTGAAGCATAGTACAAAACATCATGGTAGTAGATTACCATATGCTCTTATTTGTTGTAATTTTAGCACAAAATTACTCTCTAAATAGAGGAGACTACAATATCATGCTTTTTAGTTTGCAAATATTAAGTGGAAACCATCGTAATCTTGAAGTAGATACACAAATTGTACAAGTGGGATAAGTGAGGAAGATGGCTCACTATTTCAATAGCAAATATTTTGTAGTGTGCACATAAGAACTTCATTAAAAGAAAAACTTTAATTTTCAGAACAAGACAAGGACGGAATTTGAATCACCTTAAACATTATCATGCTAGCTAAGATGGTGAGGCTTGTGAACATGACATAATATACAGGAGAAACGACAGCAGTATTATATGTGTCCAGTGCCTGCAAAGGTGAATCAAGGTTAAGTTTCTGAAAATAGGATACTACAAGTGTGAATAGGGAATTCAAACTATTTAGAAAAATAAGATATTGATCGTTCTAAGAGGAACTCCCAAGTGGTTGATCAGAAAATTTCAAGAAGGCAATCTATGTTTTTGCACATTAAATCAGTGTCAAATAAAGAATGTAACTATCAAAATAACTTAGATCCTAATGCTGTATTTGCATAATAGAAAAAGGCTACTCAAAGTGACAAAGGAGGAAAATGGATTATTTTTGTTAACTTTAGGTAACAGTCATAAAGGATCCATAAAGTATATAAAAGAACACCCCAAAGAAAAACAAATAATCAATATCATAGACATATGCCAAGGACTTGATCACCAAACTTAGCATTCTGCAGTAGAAGGGTACCAGCTACTGGTCATATTTAGAAATCAATATATCTCGAGGGATTTGGCGTATGTTGATAAATTCAAATTTATAATCAATAGATGTATTTTCTTGCTATCATTGTAATACGTCTTAATTTTAGGGGGAGAGAAAGGAGCAAGGTAGTGATCCAAATATTTGTTAGGCATCTGTTCATACTGGATCCACCACAAGTGGGAGATGACAAAACGTACTTCTGAAGTTCTACTGAAAAGATAGACAGTACTACAAATGACTGTTGTTTCTTCTCTCAAGCATCGATGAAGATTGTAGTCTGAATTCATCAGGACATTATTGCGTGGATAACTACAATGATGCTAAGACAGACATTCTACTTAAAAAATAAAATAAAATAAAATAAAAATATATATATATATATAGAGAGAGAGAGAGAGAAGGGGGATTCTTTATTTATAAAATGAAATAACACAAGTAAAGAAACCCCCTTTATCTGTAGGTCCATATGCCAAAGTGCTTCCAAATGAATCCTCTGATTACCTTGTTTAAATAGTTCAGCTGCACGAGACAGCAAAGAATCACGAAGAAAGTAAAAAACCACGTCTCAAAGTATTTAAACTGATTTGATCCTGAAAATGATAGCTTCAGAGCAATCCCTACTGCTTTGACAAACATCACCTGCACCAGAAACAGGGAAACCAAAGACAAAAGATATAAGAAGTGTTTGACATTTGGTATAGACAGACCTCTAAACTGGGATGGATAAAAGAACAGGGAGAATAAACCAACCGTGAGAGAACCCATAAGAGAACAAATCCCAATATAAACAACCATATGCGTTTGTCCATAGCGTGGCACATACCGAAAAATGAGAACGAGAACAAGAATCAAAATTGCACAAGTGTAGATAACAAAACCTGTCAATCCCAAGCCAACTTGTTGGATCAGCTCAAATAAAAGATGTAGATCTTCAGATGGAAATAGTAATGCATCTCGAATATGTTTAAAGAGAGAAAACAGTGACGTGATTCATAAAAGTAGTGACTGTGCACAAATTGATTCCATACTCAAAGACTACGACATGGGGTTATGATCCATTTCATGGGGTTTACAATGTAGGTAAGTACTTTTCTTATAGAAGTTTATACACTAGAAAGTACAATGTGATAAAATCACAGAAAAACGAAAACCATTTATTACCTGGCTCTGTTGCTAGGGACCATACTTCCTTTACTGATTCAATTTTCTTCTCTACCGGAGCATGTAAAACAATAGTGGTGGAACCCACCAGGCAGAGAATACATCCAACCACACCAAAAATGTGCAATCTCTCATCCAAAATGAAATGAGCTAACACTGCACTGCATAGGAGAGAATATGAAAAAAATTCCAGTCATTATTTGAATGAGAAGGTTTTTTTAAGATTTGGGCAATGATGCCAGACGGTATACCTGAAAATGATACTTAAAGCTCCCAATGGAGTAACAAGGATAGCTGGAGCATATGCATAGGCTGCAAAGTTTGCTCCCTCCCCAACAATCACTGTCAAAACACGGAGAATTAAAACTAAAATAAGAAGAATCTTAATTATCATATGACTATAGGCCTAAGTCAACATTATAGAATGAAGTAAATGTACAATAATTCGATAAGATTCTCCAGGCTTGTAGTAGGAGTTGGATCTAAAGTATCATAAAATATATAATTTGGCTCACCTTTGCAAGGAAATAGCACCTCATAAAAGAAACATGAAACTGTGGAGAACTACAACACACCCCTTATATGTTAAGAAATATGAAAGCTTAAAATTATCTTGTTATTTATCACAACAAAAGACATTCAATTTCTCCCCACAGCCAAAGGCACTCAGTTCACTAGACATTTGCATTTTAACAATGGTTATAAACTGTGATGGAATCCAGTGGCATGGGAAGTTTTTAATGACAGTTGTAACAGTCTCTAAAAATTGTAAAATACACCATCAAGGAAAACATTTACATGATAATACCTGCAAGCTAGAATAGAAATACGTCATCAAGTTAGATAGCATATATTCTACTTACCAGTTGAACAACTTCAATACTGTTGGTATAGACAATGACTTTCCTCTATGTGTAATAACTAAACCCTCAATGATGCATCCCCTAAGAACTATTGAAAACCATTAGTCAAAATCCTGATTTCTTAGGTGCATCAATAAGAATTATGTTAATTTCTTATTTTATTTTGGTCTTAAAAGTCAACAGCATAAAAATTTCTCCGCAGAACTGGGCACAGATGGACCATGTGGAACAAGTAGACACTGGCAGAATAGAATTTTCCAACTACAGATTGCTGTTTCTATAGTCACTCTTTATTAGAAAAGATCAATATTCAAAGAAAAGTTTTTATTTGTAAAATATTATTAATCAGCCACTTGATATAGAGAATTCCAAAAGACAAAACGGAAGAAACGAAAACTATCAGAAAATGTGGGATTTTATTTTATAGGAAAATAATCAGAAAATATGCATATAAAGGGATTTGGTCTAGCCTGGAGCTCATCGATTTCTCCAAACGCTTAAGGCCAGAGCCTAAGATGGCCATTAGTATGGCAAAGTTCAACCTATATACAAAGTCCAGCTTTAATTTGAGTGAAGTGTAAGCATTTTCATTTCGAATACCATAGTTAAATTACATATCAATATTTTTGCAATAATAACTAGTGACAAAGAAGTTCGATCCTCAAAAGCAAGAACTCAAATGAAGTTCCAAAAAAAAAAAAGGTTATTCAGATCTTCAGAAAAAATTCAAAGCACATAACTCTTGTGTCATGAGCTGTAAATTAGGAGATGGTCGAGTAAGTTAGGAAATGTACATGACTACATAGATGGCACCCACTTTAGGTCAGGAATATGATTGGAGAGGAACTGTAGTCAGTCTATTATCTCTTGTACATGGAGATTGATCATTGCACTGGATATAATTCATGTATTAGCTCTCGAGAGATCAAAGTCTTAACCAAAGAAAATGGATCATTTCATGGGGCATATGTACTGAGAAATGTAATTCTTTCTTTTCCCCTGTAGTTATGTATCTAAACCCAAGTAGAGTGCTACTTTCATAATAGACTAATTGCCTGGAGAATCAGTCTACAAGGATTGGTTTTATCTTGATAGATTTGGGGAAGAAAGGGAAGAGATTAAAAAACTTGATCCATCGTACAATACAATATCATCTAATAGTGCATACTAAACATACACCAAATGTTCAAAAGAGACAACTAGTTTTCAAATTTGATCGAGATTGGATAGCAACATTTCTTACTTGTAATCATCCCAGCCCACCAACAAGGTTCCAGCAGGTATGCATGACCTCCGTCGCCTGAGCAAAGTATCCATTATTAACGAGACTACAAAAATTCCATTAGTGCAACGGGAGGCAAATATTTCAAGATCATAATCCCAAAATTAATATAGCCAATACTAACAAAACTCTGAAGCACGTTAACCATACATCATGAATGTGAAATCTATTAGCAAACAGTCGTGCAATATTCTGAATTCGACATCTCACTGAAACATTTTGGTACAAGCTCATGTGAATAGTTTGGAATTGCTTCCATCCATAATATTCCAAACTGAACTTTTCATGCATGCGACCCCAGTTTGGTATTTGCCAAAACTTATGATCAATTATTTCACCAAATTATACCAAAAATATTTCAGTAATAATAAATCAAATAAAAAAATCTTTCTCATTTTTCATATATATCTAAAATCAAAAGGGTAAAAAAGTCAAACGCAGAGGAAAAAAATTAACTTGCTCGAGATCCATTAGCCCCGGCCTTTTGAAGGCCTTTCTTCTTTATGATGAAACTGGACCCAATGAAAACGCTTGATGATATGGCTAAAGCAAGTCCTCGGACATTGTCCGATATTCCCCCCATTTATCAAAAATGGAGGAGAAAATCAAATACTCTCATTTTTCATATATATCTAAAATCAAAAGGGTAAAAAAGTCAAACGCAGAGGAAAAAAATTAACTTGCTCGAGATCCATTAGCCCCGGCCTTTTGAAGGCCTTTCTTCTTTATGATGAAACTGGACCCAATGAAAACGCTTGATGATATGGCTAAAGCAAGTCCTCGGACATTGTCCGATATTCCCCCCATTTATCAAAAATGGAGGAGAAAATCAAATACGTGTGTCCAAAATCCCCAAAGCCAAGTTAAATATACTATGTTATAGCTCCTGCATTCAAAAAAATGAAAATCATTCAAAAAAAAAAAAAAAAAAACCTATAAAAACGAAAAGAAATAAACCTTCTTGGTTTTGTCCTCGCATGCTCGAGATGCGATTAAACGCGTAGAGCTTTTGGGCATTTCTAATATAGAAAAAAAAACGTAAAATCTAGAAATGAATGATTTGATTTATGAAATTCTGTATTTCCAATATTTGCTATGCAAACTCTTCGTTTTCGAATCGTGTTCGATGTTAACCTCTCTCTCTCTCTCCCTCTCTCCCTCTCCCTCTCCCCTCCTTTCCCACTGTATTCTGCAGAAGAAGGTAAGAAAGAGACTGTGAGAAGAGAAGAGAAAGAAAGTGAGAGAGAAGGGAAGGGGTAGGGATAGAACGAACGGTAATTCCGTTACCTTCCACAATTTATGGGTGGCCTTCAATTCCCGCCTTCATTCTTAAATGACTAATGTTCCAATTTATATCTCGGGGAAAGAACGATTACAAAATCCACATTTCTCGTTCTAAATATTATATTAAGATTTAGGGTGAATAAAAAATGAATTGAAATTTTGATTTTGAAATTTAAGTTCAAGTAATTTAGATTTCGACGTTTCAAAATCGAACATAATTGTTTAGTTTAGGTTTCCAATTATAAAAAGCGATTAGAAGTCAAACTGAATTGTTCGTCTACTTTTAAAAAAATCTTACTTGTTATACCAAATATATATTATTTATTAGTTCAATTTTATTTTCAAATAATTTAGTAAATTACTTGTTAGAGGTTTTTATTCAATATTTTGAAAATCGATTCGGACATTGACCCTGAGAGGATCAAGGGTTGGAGGGTTGAATCAGGACGAACCGAGAATAATATAAATAATTTAAAACTAATTTATTGATATGTATCCAGTTAAAATTTTATAATAAGGGAAGAGTGTAATTGATATTCATTATTTAACTTTTAATAATAATTTTAATACTCATTTCACATTAAATTAATATTAAAGGGACTCGAATGCAACTAAACATAAAATAAAAACTATATGGGCTACATACTAAAGAGAACTAAATGGGCCCAAATATTCATATATGCTCCAATGCAAAAAATCTAATTCCCAATTTACTATGTGATGGGAACGTTTTTAAAAAATAGTACGGGTATGTTTGATTGGTTAATTTTTTCCATGGAAAATGGAATTTATCTTGCATTTTCTAACTTTTAGTTGTTTGATAGGGTTTAGTTTTCCATGGAATTTAGATTCTTGGTTTTATTGGAAAGTGCAATTTTCTTGCTTTTGTATGGTGGGAATTGATTTTCCCAGTTACTGTTCAAGTTTTTTTTTTTTTTTTTTATTTGCAATTGAAACAAATTTTAAAAATTATTGTAAAAAAATATTTTCCTTTAATTGATAATTTTCATGTAAAATAAAGACAAACGAATACCAAAAGATAGATGATTTTTTTGAATTTTCTTTTTTTGTTGGCAATGGAAACAAATTTCATTCTCAATACCAGTAAAATCTATCTTTTTAATTGACAATTTTCATGTAAAATAAAGTCAAACGAATACCAAAAAACACTTTTATTTCAACATTTTCCACGTGGAAAAGTATACCAATCAAACCCAATAATTTACAATTCTCAAAAATACAATTTCTAGATAATTCAATTCACTGAAATTCTTTTTCAATTTAATTCAATTCTATCTTTACAATCAAACGGACCCTAATTATAATATTAATTATTTTTAAATATACCAACTTCCCAAAATATAACCTGAAACACATGTTGTAACTAGTCCAATTTGATTTTAGCCAAATTCACGTTTTGCATTTAATGACTTTCAAAATCAGACACGAATTATTAATTCTTTGGCACATATTATATTTTGAAACTTCATCTTCTACAAATATAGTTCAAAATACATTTTTTGGAGGAATAGTTGCTAGTTTTGATTTCTATTTCGCACTTGATATGTTAAATTGTTCTTTCGAGATTTGATTTAATTAGAAGATGATTTGCAAGAAACATATCTGTATAACGTATTTGGTAATGGAATGGGAGAATACATTTTTGCAAAATTCATCTCCATTTTTCTGTGTGTATGATCTCTGTTATTTGAATATATACATAACGAATTATTTGATTTTTGTGAAATTGCACAGGAACACGATGGAATCTGGCATGGAATAAACTTCTGCAGGAGATCTATGAATGATCAATTCAATGTCTTGGTGGGCGATTTCGACGAGAGAATCTGGACGGATAATTTTGATTACAATAGGAAATAACCCCATTTTAGGGATTTTTGGGTTAATTTAGTCAGCTAAAGCTTGCCTGGTGGCCCTTAATTTAAGGCCGCGTTTGGTGGAGTAACTTTAGCAACGTAAATAAATAGCCTATTTGATTTTGGTTATCTTTTCACATTTCTATTTTTACTTTATAAAAAACAATATTTATGGTAAAAAAAAATGTTGAATAGTATATTCTAAATATTTATTAAAAGGTAGGGGTGTGGTAGAATTTCCACTAAAACAAAACCTACATTCTAAATTATACCTATCATTCGTATCCTTCCTACCAACATTTTGAGAGGGCAACATCGCCTTTAAACTGAGAGAAATTTCACAGGTTCCTTTTCATTTATTTTCTTGCATATCTTTGCAGATTTTTGGGCACCATATATTGCACAAGATAGGTTAAGGTAAATGAAAGAAGTTAGTAGTTAGATGAAAGATCCAATTTTTCTTAAAATTTTATTTTTTACCTTCTCAAAAGCAGTTGAAAAACCTGGCAAAATTGCATTCAGGTTGTCGATTTCTAGTTTCCCATCCGATTTTTCGATTTTTTGGCCGCGTTTTATGGGCTTTTAGAATCAATCGGACCTGTTACCCGTCCATTTTTCGATTTTTCTGGTCAAATCAATCGGTCTAGTCCAATTTTTATAATATTGGTTTTATTAGCTTTTTAGGGAAATAATAATTTGTGATAATATTTTTAAATCTATTTGGAAAAAGAATGAATTTGCAAGCTTAAATTTTATGGTTGAAAAGTTATATTAATCTTATTACGCCTCATCCTATGATGTATCCTATCACTGGTCAAGTGGCGGACAAATAAGGACCTACCTAAGGTTTGCAATCTACAATACTTCCCTACCTTACCCACTCGAGGCTATCAAAAAGAGGAAGCTAGAGTGATGCCTTCACTTAAGATGAGGCAGCATGTAGAGGTTAAAGCTTCATGACCAAGACAAGGTGTCACAACCTACGGCAAACTATTTTCGAATAGATGGGCCTTTTATTTATTAAGGTATCATCCATAGTTTCGCCTCATCCAAGCGATCATCTGTACAAGATCTTCTATATGATTGATTGATTTAATGTCTATGCGGTAAAGGTCTTTCAGTCTAATTTTCAAATGTTGGATGAACCTAGAATCGAAGATGTAACACCTACAATGATGCTGCATCAGCCCCCAAGATGAGATCATGTGTCATTCATTCAAAGTTTCTTATCATTTCTGCTTAAGCATAATGCCTCTTCTGTTGTAATTATCAAGCCCTCTTTAGGTCATTCGAGATAGCTATCGGCATGAAGGATGGAGTGATTGATGCAATGGTTGAAGGCACTGTAGATGGAACCTTTGAAGGGGATAGAGAAGAGAAAGCAGTAGGAACCCTAGAAAGTTTCTTTGAGTGAGATAGCTAGATTTCCATGATAAGCTAAAAGAAGAGGTGCCAACAACCTCAATTTTTATCTTTTTCTTGGCTAGGGATTGCTCTGCCTCATAGGACCTCATCTTTTGGAAGCTCCTTGCTCGTCCTCTCTAACTGATCCCTCTGTCGCTTTCAAGTAGAGATCAAAGTCATAAGGTCTTTAGCCATCGCCACACTTCAATGAATTGAAGACATATCAGGTTGGAGGACCTTCTTATCAAAATTTTTTGCTAAATAAATCGAAGGTCGGCATAAAGGAGTGGAAAAAGTATAAAGCTAACTGAGGTGAAAATGACAAGCACCTTTGTGATCCATCAAATGATTAAGGATGAAGTAGAGGTTCTTCTTTATGAATTCAGAGTAATGGCAAGCAGAATGGAAAAGCTGATAAACGATAGGGATGATGTCATACCCCTCGAAGATTTCACAATGAGGAGATCTTGTAAAGAAGATAAAATGAAAAGTACAAAAAATAACTATCCTTCAAAAGTCTCCCATTTGCCTAACACAAAATCATGACTCCTTTCATTTCTTTATGGAGCTCGGCAACCTCATCAAAAAGGAAAACTCCTAGTAGTTAGATAGTACCACCCCTTGAAGCCACTAAAGGGCATATGCTTAGCCAGTGTCATCTCGTGCCAGAGTATTCATGACACAACCATTTGGCTCTAAGCATTAGAGTTCAGTTAAGCTGAAGCTAGGCTGTATGGATGAGTGGGTAAATGAAGCATGGCTTTCAATATATCCTCACTGATGGCCACACAGCTTGGCCTAGGATAGCAATCGGAACTAAGAGCTCTACAAAGTTCGAGATTCTATGAAATTCTTGAAATTTGTCAAGTATAGTCGAGGCCACGTCAGATGCACCCCACTTGATTGAAATATCTATAGGGCCATTAGGCCTTTTTCATATGTTCTACCGGACCTCACCATAGCCCAAATCTCAGCATATATTAAAGTAATTAGGATCCTAACGATTTATGAAACTATGGCTCAACTCTTCCTTAACCATGCTCTCATAGGGTCCTAGAAATTCAATTATGACCGCAATAAATGGTATAGGTTTTTCTACTCGTTATACCAATGTACTAAATTTTACTACATGATCTAAATCCTAAACTCATATCTCTATTTGTAAAGAATTCACAAAAATCGTCAAATTATTGATCAAATAATTTAATGCATTCAACTTATAGCAAAATCAACACATGAAAAAATTTAAAACTAAGAATCTTAATAAGAGAATGTAAAGGATCCCAATTGATTATATTATTCGCCTTAACAATAAATTTAACTATTCATAATGTAAGAAGAAAAACAATTAATTGTCTTCGAATACATCACTGAATTTGTAAGAAAGATGTAGAAGAAAAAGTAGAATTCTTACACCAAGATCTCCTTCCCCTTCCAATGAATGCTTCAAATCTTCAATTGTTTGGTGTTATTCCTCTTGAATTTTTCTTTTGAATCTCCCTTTTTGTTGTCTTGCCTCCAATGTGCGAAGAATCCCTTTAAAAGTATGAGAAAAATGTATCATAGGTGCTCCCTCCGTTTGGTGTAGAAGTAGGGTTTTTATGGACTTTAAAACGGTCCAAAAACGCGCCCTAGACGACCCAGACGTAGCGTTACGTGACAGTGCCTAGGCGCCGCGTCAATTTAAGGACAACGCCTAAGCGCTATGTCTGCA